AGTTATGTTTGACCTTGTGGGGGGATGGGGTGTGTGTGGGCGGCTTGATATCACTTGTGTCAGGGGTGCCTATGGTGGCCCGAGTGCTCAGCCACTGAAAACCGGCTCCCGAGCTCTGTTTTCAGCTGGGACGGCATCCTGCAACCATCTGCCACTGAAAATGGAGCTCGGGACTGTCTTCCTCCCGAGCTCCGTTTTCACTGGCAGAGGCACCAGAAGGCCAGTCCTTCACTGTTTCCTGGGTGGCCCCGCAGGCCAGATCTAAGCACCCCACAGGCTGGATCAGGCCCCCGGGCCCTGAGTTTGACACCCCTGCTCTATTGCATCAATTCATCTATTATTATTATTCTTTCCTTCTGCTACACATTAATAAAATGGAGCGGGGGGGAAGCATTTCCAGTAAAGTTAATTGTTTTTTTAAATAACTTTGATGTGAAGTAATCCAGATAAAATTGTTGGAAAGAGAGAGTAAGGATTTTCTAATCCGAAGGTCTAGATTCCACTTGAGATTTTTTTATGCTTTCCTCACTGATGATCAGGGCAGCTGAATACTAGGTATAACATGTTGTGACTCCTTTATGCTATCTGCAGAGGTTCAGGACACTAAATAAGACTATTCTTGGCCAATAACAAAATATCTATTTCTGATCCGCTGGTTCTTTCTGTATGTTATATAGGACGACATCTGAGGTGATGCATGAATGAAATTATTTCATATAATTTCTACATATAACATAGCACGTTACATGATTTCTGTGTGTACATATGTACTGATATTTTTCAGAATACATATATCCTGTTTTCAAGTTTTGGAAGCTTTGGTTTTTTGTTATAAATTTTGCTTGTTTTTCCTATTTATAAAATGGAAAGGGAGTTTTCTCCATTTTGAGAAGGCAGTGGTAGAGGGTAGATTAGAGATGATGTTCTATTTTGGAATTCAGCCAGACAGTAATTTCCCACAGTATTTCATAATAATTTGGCTGTTTATGTCTTAGGAAACCTTCCAATTTTATGAGAACGTGAAATTATCTTGCAGTTTAAAATAGTAAGATTTGATGTTCAGTTTTTTTCATGAGAGCATGACTCCTGAATTAAAGTATTCGGTGTGAAGCCCTGACTACAGTTGTGATCTTTCAGTGCAATCTAGTTAAAGTTAAAAACAAAAGTACACATAAGATTGTGGCAAAATAATATTATTGTTGTTATTATTGTTTTCTTATTAGCCTGTGGTTAGAGAATACACTGGTAAATTCAATTTCCAGTAAAACCATTTACACTTGTCAATAGCAGTAGCATTTAGACATATATCGCTCTACAGTGCTTTACAGCCCTCTCTAAGTGGTTTACAGAGTCGGTATATAGCCCCCAACAATGTGGGTCCTCGTTTTACCAACCTTGGAAGGATGGAAGGCTGAGTCAACCATGAGACAGTAAGAATCGAACTGCTGAACTGCAGTCAGCCAGCAGTCAGCAGAAGTAGCCTGCAGTTCTGGATTCTAACCACTGCGCCACCATGGCTCATAACAATATTATCACTTTATAACAAAGTTGTCAATTTATAACTTTTTCATGTTATAAATTCGCCTTTGATGAAATCAGTACTGTAAAAGAAAGTTTGGTAGAATAGTTATTTTCACCGGATTTTAAAAAGTTCCTTGATGCAGAAGAAAAGTGGATTAGTGACTATATAATGAAGGAAGTGACTATCTGTTCAAAACACTTATTGACATTCAGTAATTCTGAGTCCAATTAACCTTCTTTCTTCCATCCAGTATTTGTTCCTCAGATGCCCCAAATTCATGGAGTGGCTAGAGATTATATAGCTGACACAGCAATTCTGGAATGGTATGATGGCGGATCAGTTTTTCAATACCAAATTGATTCTAGTTGGCAAATTCAGATTCTGCGTAAAGATCCAATGGAGGAAGTAGCACTAGTAAGTTGTCTGCCTTTACACCTCTCTATTTGTGTGTGTGTGGGTGCGTGTGTCTGTGTGTTTGTGTAACCTGATGGTCTCTAGCAGAAGAGAATAGTTGACCCCATTCTCAACTGACAATTGTAATCAAAGAGACTGATCTTGAGCAACTTGAGCTGGACAATCATCAATAAAAGCAAGTTTAATCATTAAAGAAGCTGATGATAAAAAGCAATGAAGTTAAGGAAGACATTGCAAGGCAATTACCACTATAAGCCAGCAAACCAGTGAAATGGAATTAGAGCAGCTTTGAAATATTGGAAAATTATAGTGAGACCCGGGGCACAATGATTGCAGTGGCCTTCTGCAGTCATGTGCCCTTCAGGGGTCCTGATGATGACTTC